GGCGCGTCCAGACGAGGGATGCCCTGCCAGTCAGGAGGGGTGGGAGGGGAAAGGGGTGGAATAAGGAGATAGGCTGTTGGTTTGAAAACAAACAAACACCCCGCCGACGCGCCGCGTGAGGCCCGCTGCTTTCGGCCCCACCCTGCTCCAGCGGCGTAGCCGGTGAGAGGGCGGGGAGAGGCGCCGAGAGATGTTCCTGCATCCCTCTCTCTCCCTCTCCCTCGAGCTGTCTCTCGCTCCCTCTTCCTCTCTCGGGCGCTCCTCCGCTCTCCCCCGAACGCCCTGCTCGGTGCGGTATCGGTTTTGGCGCTACTTACACCCGCAAAGCCGATCCGATAGGAGGCCTCGCCTCTGCAACACGATTCGACAGCAGAGCAGCGCCAGTCCCACCCCGGTCCCGGTGGCCGGCCGGCCAGGCCAGGGGCGTACAGCGCGGGGGAAGGGGGTGGGGCGCTGAGGTTGAGGCGGGGCGCACTGCGCTTTGTATTGAACAAAGAGGTCGCCAGCCCTTGGGCCCGTCGCCACGCCGTGCCACGTCCGACACGGTCGTCACCCCTTCACCCCCCTTTCCCTTCCTCCCCCTCCGCAAATTGTCACGTCTGGACGAAATGAAGGGGCGCTAATCCTCTTTTTATTTGGCCGCAGCCAGTGGCGGGATTGCGAGGGGCCGGACACACACTGAACTTGCTGGGAGAAGGATCTGTCTCTACTGCGAAGCCTCGCCGTGCGAAGAGGCGCTGTGCTTTGGTGTTGGAAGGGGTTTAGGGGCGACACACTTCTTGTTGGCGAAATAATACTTCGTCAATGTCGAACTTCGGGGTGGGTGTTCGTGATTTGATTACGTACCGTACCGTGGAGACGACGACCGCCGGGCCGGACTGACCACGACCACCCATCTGCTCTGATGCGAGCCAAGGCGAAGCAGAGAGAGATGTGACTCCGATCCCCTTTAGCTTGTCGAGTTTGACCGCCATCATCACCGCCTCCATCATCTCGGGGATAAGGGGCTCTGCGGAGTGGCCGCCGTGCAAGGACGACATGCCATGGGCTCCACTCGCGCGTCATAGCGTGATTTGCGGGCATTTTTCACTTTTGCCTACCCGATGGGGGAGCTGGCTGGGGTCCTTCCGATATGGCAGGGCGGGCGCCGCCCAAGCCGAGGTGATGCAAGTTCGCCCCCGCCTGACTGTCCAGGGACGTGGTCGTTGGTGGTTGGCCGTATGAGATGCTCTCCTGATCCGCCTGCTGTCATGCTTAACGGCCGAGAGAAATTGCGGTCATTCCTTCTTCTCACGGGCGCAATAATACTGCGTCACGGGCGGTCTAATCAGAGCGGGGACCCGGCACCCGGCCAGGATCCCGACAAAGAGTCTCTATTTGGCGGCTATTTGGTCAGCTGCCGCCCCCCGCTGCCGCCGCGAGTGGGAACCGCTTGGTGGCGGGGCGCGCCACGGAGCCTCGTTACATTTTTAAGCAGATTTCTCAGGGGCTCAGGACCCCTGGTGGGGCCCTAGCGCGGTCCCAGCGCGGCCCTGGCGGGGGCTGCGGGGGGCCGGCACTGGGCTTTTAGACCTCTGGGCCGAGGCCTGCCGAGGCTTTGTCGACGCGGCCGCGCTGAATGGGGGCCCGGGGCCCAACTCGGACACTGGAGGGCCTACCGCTTGAGGGAGGGCTCAGGGTGAGCCGCGGAGGGTGGAGGTCAGGGTGGGTGGTGGAGATCTAGTGGGCGTCTCTAGTGGAGAGAGGCCTCACAGCGAGGCCCGGGACGACCTTAATCCGATTACCGCAATCACCTCAAGAACGAGGTGTTCTGTGGATTCTAAGACCCTGTTTCAACCCCCCCCCCCCCTTTCTTCCCCCTTTCCCCTCCGGCTCAGACCTACAAGTGGGAGGCCCGTGCCCGCGCCCTCGCCCTCAGTCAGCTCAACCCCACAAATCTCTCTCTCGCTCTCCCTCCATTTCCTTTAAAATTAATTAATTCCTGCAGTCCGTCTTTTCCTTCGAGTGCGGCCGCTCAGAGTTGACGCCGATGCTGACGCCCTTCCGCTCTCCGTCTGTTTTGCAGCGCGATGCGGATCCTGCTGCAGAAGCTGCCCCGCCCCTGGATCGTGGACGAGAAGAAGGACGACGGCTACACGGCGCTGCACCTGGCCGCCCTCAACAACCACACGATGGTGGCGCGCATGCTGGTGCGCCAGGGCAAGGCCAACATGGACCTGCAGAACATGAACGGGCAGACGGCGCTGCACCTCGCCGTCGAGCGGCAGCACATCCAAGTCGTGCAGGTGCGTACGATGGGCTGCCTACCTCCGCGGCGCTAACCGCCTCGCCAGCAGCGCGCCCAAGTCTGATGTGGCTCTCTCTTGTTCCAGTTGCTGGTCCAGCTCGGGGCCGTGCTGAACGTGCCGGACAAGGACGGCGACACCCCGCTGCACGAGGCCCTGCGGCACCACACGCTCTCGCAGATCCGACAGCTGCAGGACGTGCAGGGCGTCAGCAAGGTGAGGACCCACCGCCCACCGTCCCCCTTTTCCCTTGCCCTGCATTTCAGTCACATAACCTCCATCCCGTCACCATCTCCTTCCACCTACTCTCTGATTTTGTGCTCTCGCCTTGCTTCCTTGAATTAATGTGTTGGTGGATATTTTTCTGTCAGATGTAATTGTAGTTACCCTTTTGTTTTCTAGCTCCTTATGGGTCTAAGCTGCGATCGTCAGGATAAAGACAAGAAAAAGACATCGGCGACAATCGCTTGTTTCCTCGCCGGGAATGGGGCAGACCTGAAAATTAAGAACAAGAAAGGGCAAACTCCCCTTGACTTATGTCCTGATGCCAATCTTCTCGTTGCCCTGACTAAGTGCCACAAGGATCAGGAAATGTAAGCCACCCTATCTTAACAAAGACTGTCGGATTTTATTTCTTCCACATTCCTCACAAATTTGTTTTCTTGTGTTTGTGTCTTTTGAAAACGCAGGAACAAGTTGAAGGCTCAATATGAAAGTGTGGATGCAGACGATGACCCAGCTGCCCTTGATGAATGCCTGGTATGCTCTGACCATAAAAGAGACATATTGTTTAAGCCCTGTGGTCATGTATCATGCTGCACACAATGTTCTTCACGAGTAAAAAAATGCCTCATATGTCGAGAACCTATTGGATCACGGGTGAAGGTAAGAGTCAGGTTTGAAGTGCAGTTGTAATATGGGCAAGATTGTGCAGTATTTAATCAATTTTATGTCCTCCTAGATCGAAGAGTGTGTAATTTGTTCAGACAAAAAGGCATCTGTCCTCTTTAAGCCATGTGGACACATGTGTGCTTGCTATCAATGTGCACCCCTTATGAAGAAGTGTGTTCAGTGCCGCACTCAAATTGATCGTATGCAATCTTTTATTGTGTGCTGTGGTGGCACAGGTTGGTAGTGTTGATATTAATTCTTTAACATTTTTACTCTATTTTATTGTGGCTTTTTCATTAGCACTTTGTTTTCCTCTTCTCCATTCCCTATAGGAAATAACACTGATATAGACAACGAATTTGGAGATGGAATATCATCAATGGGGGCAGCTGCCGCAGTAGCATCTGCTGTAATGTCCCGCCACCATCAGAATCAAGGGACAGGTATGAACTGCAGATTTTTCTTCTCATATTTTTATAAAGTTGTTTGTTCTGTTGCTGTATGCTTCCTTAATATTTTATGAACAATTCATTTTGAAGATACACCTCCTGAACAATTTTTGTAATTTGTATTGAAAATATTGGGATTAATTTCAAAATTTGTGTTCTGCTTCTCACTGGTGATTTAGGTTCAAAGTCGTCAGACTTAGATTCGGACCTTGATGATGATATCCCTCATGGCCTGAACAGGTCAAATGCTGCCACTCTGTCCACTGCAGCTCTCAGCAAACGCCATACCCCTGGTTAGACTCTTGCCTGGTTTTTGATTTTTGATTACTATTCACTAGAATCTGTAAATCGGCTCCTTAATCTAATGCCTTCAGAAAATATTTTCCCTGTCTAAACTTTGTTTAAATGTCCCTTTTTGGATGTGATACTCCAGCTTAAGAAACTTGTTGATCATTAT